GTTTGCAACTATTTAAGTCTGTTGAACTTGGAAACTAACACAGGTGCTGATAACAGCACTGCTACATGGAATACCAGATAGAAAAATACTACCCTAGTTCTGAAATACTAAGCATTTTAGTGGTATATCTCTGTGACAAATGCCTTCAATCTTTTCACCACACCCCTGTTAAAATAAAACCTACCACCAGGAAACATATGAAGATAAGCTGTCATTTTAAATCCAAAGCCAACAAAACGGAAAAATAACAACACTTCAACTACAGAGAAGAGGAATGAGTGAGACAACATTTCTATTTTACTGGTGAGAAGAAACATTTACTCTAATATCAGTTTGTCCGATTAATTTTGAGTGGAGCTAGGTCAATACTATACACCAGGTATCATCTTCCCCTAGAATTTCACACAGCAGCACCAAATGGTTACTGTGTCAGCACAGACACTTTGCTCATAACCAGTCCTGCTATGCTACATTACTTACATACACACAGATCTTGCCTCAACACCATTAAAAACACAATATGAAAAAAAAAGGTATGAGAGATGAAGAACAATTAAAATGGTATCACACGATCATATACTAGAGTGAAAGATCTAATATGAATTCTCCAAATGCAAACAAAGGGTGTCTTCAGGAAGAGTATTTCCTGAACGCATAGGCTCCAGCTTACACTCATTTTCATCCTCCCTTAAGGATGAAGTTCGTGATCAGACAGACAATTCAAAGCACCACAAGGACTCTGGCAAAAGGAACACGAGTCTACTATTGTACAAATTAATTTTTGGACTAAACCTTGAAAGAGCAGCTCAGACTTGGAAGAAAGTCAGAAAGGAATACAGGTGACAGACTAGTCACTGGCTTTAATCTTCCAGACTAAGACTTTTTTAAGAGCTATCCTACTATTAAATCAATCTTTTCTTCACAGACTGTAAGCATTTTCTTTCTTCCCCCTCCACCATTTTTTTTACACTATTTCTTTTTTTGCAACACTTACTTCTAACGTAACTATTATAATCTTTATGATATAACATTCAAGACTACAAAGGCATGTGCAACAGCAAATTTTAAGATTAGAATACGATGTCCAGATATTTGGGTCCAAGTCCCATACTTTGTAATAGCAACTCCAAGATTACAATCTCACATAAAGTATAATGCAATGGCAAGATGATCCTTTGTTCTGCCACTCTGCAATAAACAAACTCTATTGACAAGTGATTGTTAAAAACTAACACACCATCACGAAGAAAAAGAAACCAAAATCTTTGGTGAAAAAGAACACAGAACAGAAACTCCGGCAGTTCCATGTAGTGCAAGTATTTCCACTATCAGATCACACCTAACTAACTTAACAGATAAGAGACTCCAGCTGAATAATAAGCTGAGGCATGACTTCATTCTCCATACCTTTGCAGAGCACAGTCATAGAGCCTAAATTAAGAAACCCTATCATAATGTTGCAGCACTACAATAAGTTGTATTACACACTAAATTTTTGGTAGTCCATGTATTTCAGCATTTCCTGGTGAACACCAAGCTGGCCATGAGCCAACAATATGCCCTTGCATTAGTTGAAGCACTGCCAGCAGGTCGAGGGAGCTGATCCTTACTCAGTCCTGGTGAGCCTGCACCTGAAGCATTGTATCCAGTTCTGGGCTCCTCAGTACAAATAAGACCAGGTCCAGCAGAGGGCTATGGAGATGACTAGGGGACTGGAGCACCTCCTGTATGAGGAAAGGCTGAGAGAACTGGGACTGTTCAGCCTGCAGAAGAGAAGGCTTAACAGTGCATACAAACACCTGAAGAGAGGCTGCAAAGTGGACAGAGACAGGCTCTTTTCAGTGGTGCCCCATGACAGGGCTAGAGGCAATGGGCACAAACTGAAACACAGGAGGTTCCATCTGTACCATCAGGACACACTTTTTCACTGTGAGGGTGACTGAGCACAGGTTGCCCTGAGAGACTGAATATCTTCATCCTTGGAGATACTCAAAAATCATCTGGATGCTGTCCTGGGCACCTGGTGGCTCTGCTTCAGCAGGGGTTGGACCAGATGACCTCCAGAGGTTACTTCCAACATCTGCCATGCTGTGATATCCTCTATGAAAGAAATGTATCTGTAACAGACCCTTGCAGCATACTTTAGAGATTTCTGTCATCACTTCTGGCACATCAGCATCGTCTAGAAAAGCGAAACTGTGCCTCAGCTCCTCTCCTGTCCAAGTTGTTGGTTTGAGTTGTGGGGGGCTTTTGCTGTTTGTTTGGCTTTACCACCACCAAGTAATTTTTTATTTTTTTAATATCTGCTTTAACAGGTCATCTAGTGAGAACACAATTATCAAAATAAAAAAGATCACTTGAATTTGGGGATAAAAGTGCCCTAGCAATAGAGAATAACTATAAAGTCCTGTATAGTATTTCTCACTATATTAAAAGAAAACAAATATATATACATATACTGTGCATTTTCCATCAGTCAGCCAACTTTTCCAGGAAAAGGTGTTACAGCTGTGCTATTTAGTACGCTTCCACCATACAAAGAAAAACACAATCAGAGGTGCCTCTACAAGAAAAGGACCTAGACTGAGCATCAATTCAGGATCTTATAGTTCATTTATAAGCCTGCAGAAAACGCTGTTATCATCAGTACTAAGGCTGAATACCTGAAATGCACAGTTTCATTAGCTCGGTGAGAACAAAGTGTGGCAGCAGCATCCCCAGAGGCCCCGGCAGCGGGGTAGCGATGACATCATGCCAGTCTGAGCTCCGGCAGCCCCAGTGCACACAGCCCTGGAGAGACCCAGTGTGCCCAGCTCCACCGTGCTGGGGAGCATCCCGCTCCCCACCCTGCACCCACCAGCTCAAGTGCCAGTGCCTCTCTGCCAACAATGGACACTTATGAAGCAAATTGTTTCAACAGTACAAGGATTCAGAATCTATTTTTCAGCACAGAAGTAAGGGGGGGGGGGGGGGGGGGGCACGAAACAGTGCACAATAACTCTTTCATTCAAACAAGAAAGCCTTTCAGGAAGTACAAAGTATTTCAAAGCTTTATCCAAAACCCACTGAAATCAACAGAGGCCCTTTCCATTTGTATCGGTGAACACTGGAGAAGGCTGTACCCTAAGACACAATCTGAAAGCATTATCAGTTGCATTACCGTGCATTACGAATAACACAACAAACTCAAGAAAAGGCACTGAAATTGCAGCTAGCTCATCCACTGTGACATTATCATAAATTTAGCCTCCTCCCCCTTGTTTCTCCCCCTCTTTTTTTTAAACCCTTTCCTCAATTCATGCAAAAATCAGTCTCAAGCATAAATAACAAAACCTGTTCTCCCCGATACCCCACACCTTGTCAAAAGCAACACCATTACAGTATCACAGTGGAATAGCAGAATCCAAGATACACTGCACACTACAGTTTTATGTACTGGAGTCCTTGACCAGGAAAGTAAATATAAGAAAGAACATAAATTATCCAGCTTCCAGACCTGCACACTCAAACGGAGTATTTTAAATAAAGCACTCATGTCTCCCAGTTTCCTATTAGCTAGCTCAGAATAACACACTGCTGCTTTTAAGTTTAATTATATGAGGAAAGTTATTTATGTTTCTCTCAAGACCAGAGAGTATTACTGAGTGTGCCTTGCACTATGTTACACAAATAGATATATAATAAATGAATAAAAAAATCAACACCAGAAAATGTTTTCAATCTAGAAACTTTGCTCACCGGTGACTTCATCAAGAAAAAAATCTATGGAACCTCACGTATCTTTCAATTAAATTGTATTGCATTTTGTTCTTTTGGGTTTCTTAAATCAAACTGATGCTGTAAATTAAAGTGTTGCTACAGAATTGGCCAATATGCTGTATTCAGTCTTCAACTCTCAAACTGTAGTCTACTATTATTTTAACATCAGACAAACATGAATTCTTTTAGGGTAAGATACTGCTCAGGATGAGAAATTCTGTTTGAAGTCATTAGAAGGAAAAAAAAAGAAAAAAAAAAAAAAAGGAAGCTTCCATGATAGCCAAAGTTTAGGTGAGTTCAATGTAAGTCAGTTCTAGTAACTCAAATTCAATTTCACAAAAAACAAGGTTTTATTTAGTGAGGGAGGGTTTAAATACAATGATGTAAAAAAACTCATGACATCTTGTAAAAAGGAAGCTAATTAAAAAGGTGGGGGAGAAAGCACATCACTGGTCAAGTTCTAAGCTCAGATACACAAAATAACTTTTGATGTTAGGTCAGGTTTTCACCACTGCATTCCTGTCTCTTTCTGGACAGCTAAGGATACTAAGCAACAATGTAATTTAACTGAAGCCATTACACTGAAACTAAAGCTGAAGCAAGGTGCTGCTAAAACAACAGATTTTAGCCTTAAAACACAGGTTTGAGGCAGTATTGTGGCACAGTCTGACACAATTTAGCTGCGTATTTGGTGTGATCATTCTCATCTAACAGAATAAATAGTTCCTAATTTCCGATACTGCTGGAATAGAATTCTTATCTTATGCTACAACAAAACTTAATATTGAACAAGCAAAAAGTCTTTTGCTTTCTCTCCAGAACCTGATTCATTAAGATTCCCTGCATGTTTCAAACGTCCAAAAGCCTGACTAAAAGTTGATAAATTCATCCAAGCTCCAAGTGGAGGGCAATGTATCACTGCTAAGATGAGAGATGACCTAAAATGATAACCACGGCCACCACAGCGCCTTCCCTCTGAAAAATCCGTTTAAGAGTGGTACTCTGTCGGGTTTGTCAGAAGTTGGGTGCACAGCTGGCCGTTCCTGCAGGTCGAGCACTTAGGGCAGCTACACAGATCCCGAGGCGTCGGGGCGGGGGGCGCTCCCCCGGCTTCCCCGGGTCTGCGAAGCAGGGAGGCGGCGAGGCTGGACCCCGCCTCCAGAACTGCTGCCGCCGCCACCACAGCCAAGCTGCCCGCTGACAGCCGCCGGCCGCCGCTCCCCAGCCCCGCTGCCACTCACCGGAGAGCTCGTCCGGCTCCAGCCCGGTCTCAGTGTCCAGCCCGCAGATCACGAAGTAGTCGGCGAAGCGGCCGGGTGCCGAGGAGGAGCCGCCGCCGCCGCCGCTGCCGCCGCCGCCGCTCATGCTGGAGCCCGAGGGGTGCGCGGCACTCAGGAGGTGAGAGACCAAGCGGCGGCGGGCAGCGGGGCTGCGCCAGCTGCGCCAGCTGCGCCGGCCGCCTCCATGACGGAGCGGAGCGGGCAGCGCCGCACGGCATTGTGGGTACAGCCCCCAGCGGTTCCTGCGGAGGGGCGGCCCGGGCAGGGAACCGCAATGCTGCGCCTGCGCCCTGGGCTCCCCGATGACGTGATGCTGCTGGGCCAGGCGGGGGGCGGAGCGCGCGCAGGGGTGGCCTCGCGCGGTGGCCGTTTGGTGGGGGCGCGGGCGCTGTCTGAAGGGACAGGCGGGGTACGTGGGTGGGCTGCTGCCGGGTGTGCCCCGTACCTTCTGGGGACGGACCGTAGTTACCTGTCTGAGCTTCGGGGACTGAGGGGCTTCCCGCAGAGGCTCTCCTCAGCCAGCTCTGCCCCCTCTGCAGTTGGAGAGGACAAGAAGGCTCTGCCAGGGGCTGCTCACTCAGGCACGGTTTAGTTGCGGTGGTGCTTCAAAAGCATATAGAACCATAGAATCAACTAGGTTGGAAAAGACCTTTAAGATCAAGTCCAATCGTTACCCCGGGTCTGCCAAGTCCATCACTAAACCATGTCACTGTGGGCCTCATCTACGTGGTCTCTGAACACTCCCAGGGAGGGTGATTCCGCTGCCTCCCTGGGCAGGCTGTTCTGATGCCTGATCACCCTCTCAGTGAAGAAATGTATCCTAATATCCAATCTAAACCTCTCCTGGTGCAGCTTGAGGCTCTTCTTGTCCTATCACATGTTATGTGGGAAGAGATCATTCATCTCTTCATCCTTCTCTTGGGTAGGTGTAGGGAGCAAGAAGGTCTCCCTTCAGCCTTCTCCAGACTAAACCCCAGCTCCCTCAGCTGCTCCTCATCAGATTTGTTCTCCAGACCCTTCATCAGCTTCGTTGCCCTCTGGACCTGCTCCTGTATCTCAATGTCTCTCTTGTAGTGAGGGGCTCAGAATCAAACACAGTATTCAAGGCGCAGCCTCACCAGTGCCATCTTTCTTCGTCACCTACAGCTTCTCATCCCTGCTCCCTGAAGGCTGCTGCCCCAGTGGTTGTGACTCAGCACCTTGGTGGAGCAGCCATACCCTGAAACTAGCCCAGGTCATGGAGGAGAGAGGGTGGCTGCCAGGGAAGTGCTTTTGGCATTGTTTGGTGTTAGGGTATTTGGGTGCCTGGTTGTTGGGGTTTTTTTTCCATTTGAATTAACATCACAGACAATTCTGTTAACAGTTAGGCTTGCACAGCTGAGTGAAATCCCTCCCTTGGGCCCAGCATGGAAATTAAATGGTTGTTCCCCTGGGGAAGAACAAGAACGACTCAAACCAAGCTGCGGACCAGTAACACATACCCATGCTCTGAGCTGAGAGTACTTCTTTCCACTGACCATAGAGGGGCCTCAGATGGCCTTGCTAGACTAAAACTAGGTCTGTAAGCAGTTCCCCTTCCCCTCCTCACTCAGTTCTCTATTCATGGCTTTCACATCAGAATTCTTCCGTACCCTGTAGGGCTTATAAAAGGAGAAATTAAAACTTTTCAGTCTCTTAGGATTATTATCTAGGACTGCCTGAGTAGTTAAGGTTGCATCCATAATGCTGAATTCATCAGACACCAATCTTAACTAAACATGCTATCAAGCATGAAAAGCTTCTCATATATGAGTTTACAGACTGAGTTCTTTGTGGACACCAAGAGAGAGCAGCTCGTAAGACTTCACTGTCAATGGTCTACAGCCTTTTACAGTACAGTAACTAAGCTCTGATGCCATTTTGCCTGGTGAATTGTAGACAGCTATTCAATCCTTCTGGGAAATAGGAAAAACTGTAAGAAGCACTGGCACTATTAGTATTCACTTGGTTAAGACTGTATGTGCCACAGAATTGGTTATCAATGAATGAAGGTATTGCTTAGATTTGATTGACAGTTCTGGCAGTTCAATTTTAAGCCACTAGTGAACCTGAGGGAGAGATTCAATAAAGATAGCAGGATAATTAGAGGCAATATTAGAGTGAAAGTCTCATGTTAACTTTACAGTAAGCATATGCATTTAGATTGTGTTGAGCTTGCCTGGTGATTTGTGGAAGAGAGCAACAGAGAACAGAACTAGCTACAACTGATTGCTCTTATTCTGCTGTTCTCTAGCCATTTTGTGCACATTTTGCTTCTCCATCTGCTTTCAGTGTGGCAAAGGACAATATGCAGCATGTAGTAAACTTCTTTTGAGTAAGCCTGAACTGTAGTTCGTAAGTCAACCCTTATGAACAAAAGTCACAGTCTGAGAGTCTTGGAAGGACTTGCAAGAAGGTCTAGGGAAACAGCACAGATATTGGTGAGGTTTTTGTCAAATAAAGACTAAAATGGGGAAATAACAGAATTGTTCTTACTTGCATTTTAACATTTCCAGCAATAACCACACATTTAGAAGATTTAGCAAATAAAGTTAGATGGGCTGATAAGCAAGCAGAGGATTACTAGAAATGCTGTTGAGCAGCAATATTTAAATTCACAGATGCCTTGCTATGCAACAGGGCAAGGGAAAAGCTCATTCATACTTTGTCAGATAAATTCTCTGCTTTCCCAGCCAGCTTACAGCCTCATAGCTCTTAAATCTAGTCATCTACATAAAAGGACACAGAAGTGTTAGAACAAGTCCAGAGGAGGGCCACAAGGATAATCGGCTGGAGCACCTCCTGTATGAAGACAGGCTGAGAAAGTTGGGGCTGTTCAGCCTGAAGAAGAGAAGGCTGCGTGGAGACCTCATAGCAGCCTTCCAGCGTCTGAAGGGGGCCTATAGGCATGCCTGGGAGGGACTCTTCATTAGGGACTGTAGTGATAGGACAAGGAATAAAAGGGGTTAAAACTTAAACAGGGGAAGTTTAGATTGGATATAAGGAAGAAATTCTTTCCTGTTAGGGTGGTGAGGCACTGGAGTAGGTTGCCCAGGGAGGTTGTGAATGCTCCATCCCTGGCAGTGTTCAAGGATTGGTTGGACAAGGCCTTGGGTGATATGGTTTAGTGTGAGGTGTCCCTGCTAATGGCAGGGGTTTGGAATTTAATGACCTGAAGGTCCTTTCATACCTTAACTATTCTGTGATGATATGATTCTACGATCCAGTACATGTACCCAAACAGTTGGAGCTTCCTCCTCCCATTCCTCCTATCGTATCTTCTACCCCATGATTATTTAATTTCTGAAATACTCTTGCCTAGTGACCACAAGCAACATCTCTGATGCCTAATTCAAAGGCTAGTAGCTTTAATCTGTCAGTCTTCTTGAGCAATATTCCCATCACAGGAAACACCCAAAATATGGCAATTTTGTCAGTAAACTTTGTGAATTGCTTAGATGTTCTTGAGTAAGGCCACAACACTAAACTATATTATGAATTCTTCTAAGTATTATTTATGATGTTGAGAAAGTCTGTGGAATTGTGATTTGCTCAAAGCCCCTTTTCATGGCATAGAATTTTTCCAAGTACAGTAAACACTGCAAATTCCAAATTATTGGATACAACTGCTCAAGGGCAAGTGTTGTGAAAGAAACATCAGAAGTTACTCCCGTAACATTACATTTTAGTTACAATGCAAAATTTTAAAAGGTATGTCCCACTGTGGCACTCCACTCCTCTCCAGAGCCTGCTGACCTCCTGAGGCTATGAAGATGATATTGAAGTCCTAGAGATGTGCAGAAGCAGAATTTTCTGTGCTTTGAAGACCATCTACAGAAAGAAGCTTTTACAAGGCCTCTTGCATAGTTATACACCAGTCATCAATTTAGCTCTCATAATCCAGACCCAAATTCTTCCTTGTATACTAGGAAACAATGAAACATGAATTATTACAGTAGGTCAGGAAGGGGAGTTATGGTATGTTAGTAAACATATTATGCTCTTATTCATATTAATTGCCATTATTTAAAGGCCATAACTTCTTTCACTTCTTTTGGGTGACCTGGAGCTATAGAGCCACTAGCTGAGAGGTGAACAGAAATATGTATCATTGTAAGACATCAATTGGTCGTAGAAATAATCAGAATAACTGACTTCTCTTTGAGGGGGAATCCGAAAAGCTCACTCTGGATCCCACACTCCTGTCAAAACTTTTCCCTCTTAACACTGCTATACTGAAATACATGATTTACAAACCTCACAACATTTATGACAGAAGGAAAGTTTTCTGTAATTTGACCTGTATTTTTTTCAGCCTTCTGGAGGGGTAAAACCAAAAAAAAAACCCAACCACACAAAACTGTTCTGTAATCTTGCAAAAGCAATTGTCCTACATTATGAAAATATTATATATTTAAGGGATAGTTTGACTTCCCCTTTCTGGCACAGCTCTGTACTGGGTGATAAGGAATGGACAGGCACTCAGGCATCACTTCTGGGACAGGATTTGTTCTCTGTGTCCAAGTTAATTTTGAACAGAGGAATTTGACTAGAAGGCATGATTCTTAGTGCTTCAGCTCCCACAATTCCCAGAGTTATTACTCCAGTTATTACAAGAAAGAAGAAAAGTATGTGACTAAACAAGAAATGCATTTCCTGTTTGTTCCTTTAATAAATTTCTAGTGCAAAACACTGGACGTACGAATTTCATTCCTGTAGTAACACTCTCACAAAGGCTCCTATTTCAGTTAGTCTGTACATTCACAAAATTGTACCTGCAGTAACTGCTGGGTATTTCAGTCCTGGATCAGCTACCTGGCTGAGTCTGTTCTGCTGGTAGGGCAGCTTAATCCCAGTGAACGGCAGAGTATGAGGCAGGAAACATACATCAGTTCTAATGCAAAGCAGAGCAATCCACACGTGTCGTTACTGTCATAAAAATAGGTTATCACAGAAACTATACAGGATGAATAGGCTCAGGAACAGCACACAAAAATCTTTCAGAGTTACCTAACAACAAAAGCCATGCTTTGACTTTACATAATAGTATCATTCACTAACTTTTTAAGAAAGACTTCACACCTTTTTACTTCTGTTTTCTTAACCTTTTGGCAAGCTTTCAGCATCAATTTTCTATACAAGGCACAAAAAGAGAATTTCATAAACTGGAAAGAACAGAATATAAAGGGAAGATGAATTATAACTTCAGCACATGAGCCTTTCATCAAGAATTCATAAAAAAAGCAAATTATGCCTTTCAGTGCAAAATACAAAAACTTTTCAAAATTACTGTTGTGAAAAATTAGAAAAGTCAAGTTTATCTACATATTCTGAAATAGAGGTAGAAACAAAATTAATCTCATCTACAGATGTAAACAGCTCAGTTTAATTTTTAATCAGTCATTAAAAACACCATTTAAGAAGAATTCATCCCTTTTAAACAGGTCAATAAAAAAGATAAGCTTAATGTGAAGTTTAGTATGCTTCATTGTACTAAAAGATACAATGTTCCATGTTTTATGTAATAGCTTTATTATCAAATGGCAAGAGACATTTAGTGATGATGTCATGCAGGTATCACAAAACAGTCCAAAAGATAGACACGTTACCTAACACCTCAAAACTCCTTGCAAGTAAAATCAAAGCTACACCTGCCTGTCCTGGTTCATTTCATGGTAGTCACTTTCTTACTATCAAAATATTACAGCTATCCCTTGGATCACTTGCTGGATTCCCTAAAAATATAGGCTAGTAGAGTATTCCATAACACAGTGCTTTTTTATCTTTTTCCACAAGGCCTTCCTTACTCCTCACCACCCTTAGTCCTTGAGGGGTAGGAAACCGCTTGGGGCCATTGGCAGCTGAAGATAAGCACAGAAGGAACAGGTTAAAAAAAACAAAACAAACAAACAAAAAACAACTAAGGTTTTGCAAAAGGAAAGGACCTTATTTTTGACCTTTTTAAAGTCTTAAGGCTTATAGCCACTGTGATGGGAACACAGTCCATGGCTGAAACACAATAGGTTTTCCAATGACATAGCCTGATCTGATCTACACAGTGAAATACAACTCAAGTGAAAATGTCAAGCAATAGCGTGATTCACATTAAACTGAAAAAGTTCAGTTCCTTCTTTAGCGTTTAGTGTTCCCTCTTTAGTCTTTAGAACCTTGGTTCCACCAAACATTGGCTTTATACAGCACAGAAAGGATTTCACAAGAGCATCTGTAATTGACCAGAAATTGAGACAAATGCTAAGAAAAACCACTGGGCAATAAGTAGTAAGTAGTTTATTCTGACAGTTCATCTGCATGAAAAACTAACTATGCAGAAAAGTAGGCTGTAAATATACAGCAACTTCACATGCCAACAGTCCAGGAGACGCTTGCTTACAACAGCTAAATTCACACTAAAGTTTACTATGGAATAAATCCCCTGGGTAGGCAACCTCTGAGATCAAAACTGCAGCAACAGAAATAATCACTGCTCAGTTTTAAATGCCAATAAAGTACACTTTTAGAGTAAAATCTAATAACAAACCAACTGCTGAAGCTAAATGATCTTACGATAAACTTGCAAACAGTAGTGATATGAATTCCTTTATCCATCTATGTCAAAAATACCATTTACTGTACAGCCTGAATTTAAATAAAAGTGTATCAATAATATTTACTGAATATTCACATGTAATACTGTGATGAATCGAAGGAGTCAATTATGTTACAAAAACAAAAAACAAAAAACCTTTAAGGTAGCAGTACCTTCTACATTATCACATTTATGGAACTGCTCTCAATGATCTATCGTATGGTAACATGAAGATACAGACAAATAAAAGACTGAATTGGAGCATATGCTAATGTGCCAACTGCCATTTCAGCAAGATACTTTAGGGGCACCAACTTAAAGCATATAAGCAGCACTGGTTTCAGTAGGATAAAACTTAAATGCACACCCCAGTTCCTTGCTGATCAGGGCATCACTTTATGGAATTCCACTAACATTACAAGCTACAACAGTTGTAAGCATACAAAGAGAGGTATCATATACCTTACTGAGTGAATATATATACTTCTGCTTAAAGGTAAATCAGCTGGTTGCCTCTTGCCAGTTACTGACTTATCAGACAATGGAACGATCCTGTCAATTTTATATACAGACACAAAAGCCTTCTGTTACATGATACTTTGAATATTATTCAGAATCAGCTTTTTAGTAAGAATTGCACCAATTTGCCTACCTGACATTTCTTCTAGCTAATCAACCTGCAATGAAAAATTTTATACTCTTTTTATGCATTGCTTTAGAAATGGTAATTAAAATTACACTGCTGTGCTGGTTTCAGCTTAACAGTTAATTTTCTTCCTAGTAGTTTCTTCTATACCACAGCACATCATGGCTGTCCCCACAGCACATCCCCATCAGCCTCTGGGAAAATTGAACGGTACAATGGCCTGTTAAAAACTACACTGAGAGCAATGGGCAGTGGGACTTTCAAACATTGGGGTACACATTTACCAAAAGCCACCTGGTTGGTCAACACTAGGGGATCTGCCAACAGGGCTAGCCCAGCCCAATCGGAACTTTTATGTACTGCAGAGGGGGATGAAGTTCCTGTGGTGCACATAAAGAATTTGCTGGGGAAGACAGTCCGGGTTATTCCTTCTTCAGGTAAAGGCAAACGCAGTCGTGGGATTGCTTTTGCTCAGGAACCTGGATATAATTGGTGGATTATGTGAGAAGATGCGGAAGTCTGGTGTGTACCTCAAGGGGATTTAATTTTGGGGAAAACAGACAATAAACTTAATTACATGCTGTTGCCTGCTATATAAGGCTTCTATAGCCCATCAGCTATATGCCTGTCTCTGCCACTCTGGGCTCTGAAAATATGTACCGTCATGATCATCAGCAGAGAACAGTCATGGGAAAAACCAGCAGCAGGAGTCTCCCAGTCCTGTTCTCAGGTCATCATCGACTGAACCTGACATCCCTCAGATCATCACCCCAGCAAAGAATGAACTTCGACGAGACCAGATGAGCTCAGTGGTGACATCATCAGGCAACAATCCAACACCACACACCATGTCTCCTGCCCTGAAGGACGGTTACAAGAGATCATGGACTGAATGAATGCAGCAAACTTCATAGGGATGGTCCACAGACTAAGGAATGATACCTCTGTGAGAGACAAAAAAGATACTGGTATATTGGAAAATGTGGAACCTGAGCTTGACATAAAGGATATAGAATAAGGGGCAGATACAGTCCTGGTTTCAGCTGTTAAATTTCTTCCTAGCAGCTGGTGCAGTGCTTTAGTTTTAGTGCAGTGTTTTGGCTTTAGTCAGAGAATAATGCTGATAACACACCAGTGGTTGAGCTGCTGCTGAGCAGTGCTTACTCTGGTCAAGGACTTTCCAGTCTTTCATGCTCTGCCAGCGAGGAGGGGCACAAGAAGCCAGGAGACAGCAGAGACAGGACACCTGACCCAAACTAGCCAAAGGGGCTACCACATCCATACCACAGCATGTCATGCCCAGCATATAAACTAGGGGGAGGCACCCAGAAGGGCCTGATCGCTGCTCAGGTCTGGCTGGGTATTGGTCAGCCGGTGGTCAGCAACTGTGTTTTCTGAGCTTTTTTTGTTGTTATTGTTTCCTATTATAAATAATGTTTGTTGTTAGTGTTGGTATTCTACTATCACTATATTTTACTCTTTTTTAGTTAGTGGACTGTTCTTATCTTAACCCGTGGGGTTTAAACTCTTTTGAGTCTCCTCCCGATCCCGCCCTGTGGAGGGGGGGAAAAGGGAGGATGAGCAAGTGGTTGCGTGGTGCTAAGTTACCGGCTAGGGCTAAACCATGACAATTGCTGAAAGTTTTATATAATCATACAATCATTTTCTTAAATTGGCAGGATAAATCTAAGCAAGTGAAATATTGGCAAAATAATTAACAGTAAAAAAATAAAAATTAGAAAGTCAAAATAGTCAACAAGCCACGATCAAAATTCTAACCTGCTCTCTCCCTTTCCTTATCTTTCCCAGAATAAAACTTTACAGAGGACAAGAGGGAATGATGTGACACTTTGCCTTTGTTAATCCAGTTAAATCTGTTAAAGCAGATGTCAGTTCAAGTATTTAAATCCACACAGCGCTAATAAGTCAAAGTAAACAATCAGAATGAGAATATCATTGTAATTAAAGTACTGCAAAACCCCCTTTGTTTCTGAGTGAGCACCGTTATTATATTGTTATTATTTTGGAAATCCCAAAGGGAAAAAAAACAGAAATATTGTTGATGAGGAAATGTACTCAGACCAGATCACATGCATGCCTACAGAGATTATTACAAAACTGGACTGAATAGTTAAGGTTTCCTGCAAGTTTTAGAAAGCATTATCTGTAGTTTATGTCTACATTACATTTTTCGCTCTGCATATAATCAGAACAAAACGTTACATCTGTTTTTACACTTCCCTCATCCTCAGTGCCACATACACCCCCTCCCAAAGTAAAACACTGATGGTTTGGTTACAAAACTATATGTAGTACATTTCTGAACACAGTTCCTTCAATTCTGGGCCATGTGTTCATTTAAAGACATTCTTATCAATTACAAGACTCCTCTTTAATTGCTTAAGATCCAATAGAAAAGCAAATATACAAATATCAGAAGTGCTGATCCTGAGATGAAGTATGGGAAATTCTGGTCCAGTCTGATCCTTATTCAAACTTCTGTTTCAGTTTCTTCTGGAAGACAGCTGGTAGGACGGAGAGGATGGCTAGAATCATGAGAACAAAAACAGAGTTCCAGGAAACAGCTTCCCCTGCTGTTGTAAGTTGGTACAGCGTTGTTCCTGCCTTAATGGCTACAAAAGATGGTGGTGCCACACCTGGAGTGGGGAATTAGAACGGTAGGAAGGCAAAGGAATAAAAAAATAGCTTGTCAGCAAAAAAAAAATAAAACAAAACATAAATTAGTCAAACTTTTAAGACCCAAAATTTCAGACTGTTGTGTTGCATGCTTGAGGTTTTTTTTGTTTTCGTTTTTGGTGTGGTTTTTTTAAGAGAAGTGCAAATACAAAATTAAAGACAAAAAAACCCTTATCAAAAGAACTGGCTTTATGCCATTTTAAATATTTTTAATACCAAATACCAAACACAGGTAACCAATAAAAGAATCTTTGCTCTTTAGACTCTGCAGATTTCAAGCTCTCTCTACAAACCAATTTTAAGTTCATAAAGGAAAAATATAGATAGTTTCCTAAGCAGATTAAAAATCATTTGCAAAAAAATGCCAATTACAAACCTAAAGTGTTTAGCACTACATTAGTTAAATTATGAATTCACTCCTAGGAAGATATAGTATGATGAATAAAATGGATTGGGGATTAAAAATCCTTTAGATCAAAGTCCCATACATCCTCACACAGTTATACTGAATTCAAAACAGGAACTTACAGAAGTTGAGGAAGGTGCTTAGTCATTGAGTGAAACAAAGTTACCAATACAGTGTTCTTATAATGTATGTTTCCTTAATCAAGTAATTAAGACTGGGCTCATTACCTCTCGCTCAATGCATCAGAATAGTCCTGACTACTAAAAATCTTGACGGTACAAGCATCACACATCGAGAAATACAAAAAAATTCTTGTGTAATCGTTTGGCTGTCCACTAGGTGGTGATCTCTGCTGAATAACTCATACACAGGTGCAAATACCCCTGCAGGCTACCCCAAACCGCGAGTCACTAGCCAGAATTCTTACCTAGAAAAGTGCCAATGAAAAATACTTTCAATGGCACATTAATTACAGGAGATGTTATATTGATAAACCAATTGGGAAGAAAAGGTGTTATTCTCAAAAATATTATGTAGTTAATGAGGTGTTCTCTGTGTCGTTCAACCTGCCAAAACAAAGCCAACAACAAAATAATTAGTAAAAAAATGCCTGCCTTGAAAATACATAAAATAGGTAAACAATTATTTTACTACTAGAGCATTTTTAGGGGTTTTTTTGAGTCTCTCTTGTAGAAAGTTACAAGTTGCAAACAAAAATCAGCTAAACAATGAGTGACTCAAGGAAGAGTCATCAGTGAATCAACTGTTAAGCAGCGCTGAAGTTAGTCTGGAAATACCAGTCTGTAGTGGAGCATGGCATTGAATCAGCCAACATAAACAGCAAACAAGTAATTAGGCACAGCAGCAGGCCTAACCCTAACTTGAACACAGCAACCTCTGTCTGTCTAACTGTAGCCCAAATCAGCATGGCCAGCTTGTCATCCTATTTGTAAAGCTTTTGCAGGAACTAGCAGTGACATTTGCTCCTAAACCATTTCATTGTAACTCATGATCAAACTTCAAACACAGCTGTATTCCTCTCTTGCAAACTTACCCTAGTCATGGCTCTGAAGTTCATCATGTGGCTGCTGCCAAGGCAGTTGCAAAACCTATCTAACCCAGAAGTCAGAAAGCCTACCATTACTTATCCAGGAGCAACCACAATACCCCAACCTCATGTACAGTCTTAGTTATATTCTCAAGTCTAGAGTCTAGCCCAGTTCATTACACTAGGACTATATCAAAGTCTCTTCTCCTTCCAGCCTATTTTGGTACATCAGCTCTTTCAAGCGAGAACTGCAACCTCAAACCAACTTTTAAGAACAGCAAAACATCCACCATTTCTGGCCTATCCTGGCAGACCTTCACCAAGCCTAAACATGGTCATCTGGCCCCAGACAATTGAAATCAAGCCTGGTCTGATTGCAGTTCCATCCTAAATCTTAGGTAGCAACTTCCCCCCCCCCCCCCCCCCCTCAGCTTTAGCTACAACACTGAAGTCAGTAGCCCTGCTATTTTTCAGTAATACCACTGTGGGGTTTTTAATCTTAGTGAAGGACAAATATTTAAACCTTGATTAACCTTGCATCTTAGTCCTCAAAATTCAAGCACAATATAGTCCAATTAACCTGCAAACAGTGAGATATGAGCTGCACATGTAATCACATAATTTTAAATCACATATCCAGGTCTATTAAGTGGAAGTAGTAATCATTTGTTACCCAGAACAGCCTCAAGATTACACTGTGATACAAGGATTTACATGGGTCAAGAGCCAAAATACTATTGTATTATTTAATAAGGTCAAATGTATCAGACTCAGTTCTATATCTTATCTCATAGAGAAGAAGTTTAGACTACTTTTACATGAATTAAAAAAAATCTTGAACAGAGTACATTTGTATGTTGTGCTTCATACTTGCCCCCTCCCCCCTCAAAAAAACCTCATGTTTCACAGTATCAAACCAAGAGCCATAAGGCCAAATACTAATCACACTATGATTCTGAATTGTAAATTTTTAACTTCATCTGACAACTAACACTTGCTGAAAGTAATGCTATCAGATATCGTAAAAGAAAGTTTCCAAATGCTCCAACCACATCATCATCTTCAAATTAAGGTTTTGCAATCAAACATACAGCTATGGGTTTTCTTCCCCTATAAATAACACAAACCCAGCTTTCATTAGTTATGATGCTAGGAGAGCTATTATTTTAAATTGAAACTGGAGAGGTTTCCTACTGACATCAGCTAAATCAGGGGTTATCAGTTGCAAACTCTTCCTAGGTAAAAATAACTTCCTCACAGGAAATACCATAAAAAACAGGAATATTCTCCACTGTTTAAAAATGCTCAGAGAAAGTAATTACACAGTGTTAGAAAGGAGGCAGAATCCTTTGTTTGTAACTAGATACATAAGCATAAAGCCGTGGTTTTCTATGCTATTATAGTACACATTTTCTGACAAATTTCAGCATCTCTAAAAAATTTACCTGTTCTGACCATTTTACTGCTTTTTCTGTTAGATATCTGTATACAACAGGACGTCCCACTAGGTATGAAAGCATATAGCAAAATGAAGCTCCAAGTCCAGAACACTGAAAAACAAAAAAAGAACAAATGAGCAGAAAGTCTAATTAATCTTAGCCTTATATCCCTATTAACTACATGGCTGCATAATACCTGCTCCTATGCAGCCCTCCACTGGGGCTCAGGGGCTCTCCTTCAGCAGTATATACACTCTCTAAGAATGCTGTTCTTAGACAAGACAGTTCCTTTATTTCCAGGGCATGTAGATCAATCTTAACATTCAAAGTAGACAATGCTGATTACTTACCAGTTAATACTGAGTGCTTCTACAGTTTTAAGATTTTGAACAGTGAAAGCTTTGCAAATAAGGGGCACAAAAGCATTAAAGAGATGTTAACTTGAAAAATCGTCAACTTGGTCCTCTATACCTACTCAATTATCTCATTCTTATGTACTACAGCTCATTATGACTGCATCTTTTTTATGTATTTTTTGAAGCTCGTCATTAACATAGACTTTGTATCTTAAATGAAGCTTCTTGGGTATGTAAGCCATTTAAAAATAAATGTGTTTTGCTATGCGATAATTGTGTTCTGAAATTACAATCAGGTTCTGGGGGATGCTAAACAAATTTAAAGGAAACTGGCTGATTCATACTCAGATGCCTCCATTATTAAGAAAATTTTGAGAAACAGTTTAGCCCTTTGGATCATCATTCAGTGCTACAGTGAATTTTGTGGGTAACACCATTCTCACAACAGAGCTGAATGAGAACTTATTCATTCCTCAGAAACTGAAGTACACCCCTATTTCACTCAGACTCTGATAATTTCAAACAGGAAACTGATCAGATGATTGGTTATATTCCAAATAGACAGAAATATATGCCCTCACAAACTAGTTTTCATACTTACCAGACAAACAAGAAATAAGGCCAATGGAAAGGGATAAAGAAACCCTGACAGGATACTGAGAAATATAGACCCAGGAATAGCAAACGTTTGCAAGCTGGGTGCATCTTACTTAAGGAAAAAAGAAAAACCAACCACAAAACAAACCAACCAAAATTAAAAGCTACCCATTTCTTAATTTTATAAGCAGTCAGGATATATGTATTTCAATTGGAAAAGCATAAATATAAATAGGCATAGCTTCTAAAGATCTTTATTTCAAAACACATGTGCAGAGGAGCAAAAAAAGCCCAAGAGGAACAAGCAGTAGATTGATCATTACACATACAAAAATTAGTCACTAAGTAATAAAAGCTGTACTACATTCTTCTTTCTCTGTGCTCCAACTGACACTGGAGATTTATCATAACATTACAGGAAACACATCCTTCTGATTTTACAACGTTGGCTAGAGATATGCAAATTTCAGATATCCTCTCTGAAATGTTCACACAACCACCCAAGCCCATTAACTACTATGAGTTCCATGGAAGACAGACATGCATGAAGGCAATTTCTACTTCCTTACAAATAGATATGGTGCAATCACTAGGTAAAACTAGGACACATGATCAGATAATTTCAGTCAGAATTTTTCAAAAAGGCAAAATTAAGTTTCTGCGTCGTAAGCAAACAGACCCTTGAGCTTAAGGCTTGCTAGGTATGCTTGAGACCAGGATGTATGGCCCACTTCAGACAGAAATATAAAGCAAAATTGTATCTGCAAACTATTTTATCCGAGTTGAATTGACTGAAGTATCACAAAGCCCAATAATCTTCCTCAAGTCCATTAGAACCAGTACAACTTTTTCTAAGTGTCAATGTTCTGAGATAACTGTAACATGCTTGCCAACTGAACACGGTCTACTGCTAAGGCAGGAAGTGTCATCGTATCAGCTGCTATAGTAATTCAATAAACAGCCAATTCTGTTCTACTTCTTGTTAATATATAAACTAACATTTTAATTTTCTTCCTAAATCTATTACTTGTGAACTACACCTAAAAAGACCAAGCCAGAGGACACTTACCAACGGCACATTCAATACTGATTTACAATTCAATACTGAGTTACAAAAGCCTCCTGCATTAAAATATAAAACAGACCTCTTATACGGCTTTTAAGTTATTAACCTTCAGTTAAGTGTTCCAGTTATGAGTGTGCTTAATGATTAATTAATACATACAGCACTGAGAAAAAAGTTAACAAGGAACACAGTCTTTGTGTCTCCCCAGGCAGAAACTACTTCAGAAATTTAGCTATCTAAAAGGAATTTTTTTGAATGTGGGCACTGCAGAGATGAAAGTAGGCTCAAAACACTTTCCTTTAGAAATGCTGCAAAATATTCTGTAAATTACCCTGACATGGCACTCATGAACATCTCAAGGAAGAACAGTGAAGTAATCTCAGTATTCCTTAGGATCAACAGTAATTTCTGACTGGTAATTCAGTTTGCAATTTAAAAAGTTAGCAAACCAGTAAAATGAGACCGAGTCTGATATCAAAGCTAAAAATATTGTCCATAACAGACAGAGTCAAGGTGAAGCTGCATGCAAATCCCCACCACCATTTACTACTATAGATGATGCATCAATTTCTTTCTACTCAATCCTTTCTTGCAGTGCAAAAAGCATACTGAAACATGAAAGAAATGTTTTTAAGTTCAAAGATTTTTGGAATATTTGTGTCTAAACCACACTAGGTAGGTTAATCTTCACCCATAATCAAGAACATACAAGATTTCTTTTTGAGATAAATATGCCCATCAAAACTGCCCTTTATATTTGAAAAAGGATACAAAACATACGTGGCAAAATAAGCCACTAACACTTGAACATAAAATGTGTCCTTATACTTGGACAAGACTTTTCCCAAGGCCTTTGCATCATCCATATCTCTAGGAACCTTTATGCATTCTCTTTCTTCCCTGAAGAAACAAAAAAAAAAAAAAGACAGAAGTGGTGGTAAGTATAATCAAACAGTATAATAAAATTAGTTACTGAATATATAGGTAATTTCATACACTACATCACTAAACTGCAGCCTCATCAAACAAACCACATGAATTATTATGGTAACATTCTCAGATGAACACAATATTTACAATATGTTTTGCATTAGAAAATCCTCAAGTTTAGATATTTGCAAACTTTCTTTATTCATTACAATAATCTGCTTCATTCCTAGAATTTTTTTTTTTCTTACCAAGTACTGATCAAAACCAAATAATTACACAAACCAAACCTTGGCAACTGAACAGCGCTCAACATTTCAGCCAAAAACAACTGCAACTGCCTCAGCACTAGGGTCTTAACATCTGAAGGGCAGCAAGAGCAGCAGCAAAGTTTTACCTCAAAAACAAACAAAGCTTTAAGAGCAAAATCTCATGTCACACCTTAATCTGGTGCAACCCTGGGCAGCACAGTTGAGTGTCCTCTCTTCCGCTGTACCAGACTTAGTGACTGGATTGTTGCAAACTGAACTTGTTGAGCAAGTTTATCAGACAGAAAAATAACTACTAAAAGAAAAAAGAAAATTGTCAGGCAAGCAGACTTCCACCTTGTCAAACTATCTATCTTTGCAACACAAGTACCAGATGCAACAAAAAGGAGAAAAAAAGAACATGAAGCTTAGATATGGAAGAAGGATGTCCCCTTCTTATGACAGCCTCCAATTATGCCAGCGCACAAGGAATTTTCAAACAAACCTAGGCCTACCCAACCATGCTTTGCCTCTCAGCTGAAGAGCATTAAGAACATAGTGAGTTACCACTGCTAATGTGACAGCAAGCAACTTTTCAAAACATGGTATCTCAACTGTGGCAGAGAAATCCTAGGTCAAATACAACTCTGTTTTCACAGAACCTACCAGTTAGTAGTTCAATATTAATGCATTGTATCCTAGCATTCCAGGTTATAAACTCATATTTATGTTAGCTTCTGTCTATAATTAACTCATGTCAGTTTAAAAATCACTTAACCCCATGTAGGTTCCTCTACAATTTGGTACTGAATGAAAAGCAAATAAATTAACCTTTCCTGCCATACTTACTCACTAAGTTGTGGGAAATTTCTATATACCAGGAACATAAGGAAAGCAGCCGATGAGAAGATGGACACTAATATAAGCAGTGATGTCCGAGCTGATCCACCTTCTGCCTGAGCTTTTCCTGAAATTTAACAATAACAAAGTTAAAAAAGCCAAACCAAAACACCATTGCTCTCACAATGGGCTTCAAACTTGTAGAAACTTCAAGGCAAGCTCTCTGTGGACATGATCTTCCCACCAATGCTCTCAATAATATATATAACACACTGCTCACATTCCCTGAAAGCTTTCAAATACGTCTGAAGTTCTTACACTGGCAAACATCCTGTAGAAGTCAACTTCTATAATTCATAATAATTTAAGCATCAATTAATAAATAATAAAGAAAAACAGAGCAAAACAAAGTAAGCCAGATGCATTTTTAACTTTTTCTGCCATACATTTGCCAGTCTGGTTACCTAAAGATTTAACTCAAACTTAAATCTTCAGTATGATAATGCAATTCTGGACATGCTCACTGTATTTTTTTCCCCTCCTAAGAAAGAGCACCAGAGCTAGTCAGGACAGACACACTCATCAGGAAAAAACAATGTAAACACACATCAACTTGGGATATAAGGATTATAGTTCTCAAGACTTCAGAATTACACATATTTTACACTCAGACTTCTCTTGGATATGTCTATACAAGCTTTTATTAGCTTTAGAGTTCTTGTGTAAAGGAAGCAATGGGAGTTCAATATGTGACACAATTATATTTTAGGCCTCTTCTATACTTCAGATTTTTACCAATATGACCATACACATGCAGCACAACAACTGGCACAAATACAGCTATACCCACACAGAATTTAAAACAGAGAGGAATACACAGTAAGAACTTGCTGCATCCACACTAGGGTGCATATGTATTAAAACACTCTGACACTGTCAGGGTAGCACACCTTCACAGCGAGCATCAGTCTTGGCCACCTGAAGAACATAAAAAAATAGCAAGGCGGTATTTTAATTCCCAAATACTGGTGGCATGACTAAATGCCAACGCACAACATTCAAGCGGGTCAAACTGCCAGCTCACTGTTGCAAAACACAGTGAAAGGGTAATGAAACCCACAGACAAAACAGCCGGCTGGACAAGCTAGCAATTCTACCCGCTTTGAGGTCAGCGTGATCCCACAGGTGTGCTCTGGCTGAGCTAAGACCGAAGGAGACATCCATGTAGCAGTTACAAGCATGAATCACAGAATCATCGGGGTCGGAAGTGACCTCAAAAGATCATCTAGTCCAACCCCCTGCCAAAGCAGGGCCAGGGACAGCAGGATCCCTGTTCCAGTGCTCCTCAGTGCAAAGAAGTTGTTACTCACGTCGAAGCGAAACTTCTCGTGTTTTAGTTTATGGCCCTTGCTCCTTATCCTGTCGCTGAGCACCACTGAAAAAGAGCCTGGCACCCGCTTTTGAGACATTTATATGCACTAATGAGATCCCCTCTCAGTCTCCTCTCGACTGAACAGGCCCGGCTCCCGCAGTCTCTCCTCACACGAGACCCGCCTCCCCCCACAAACACCGGCTGTCCCCTCGCGGCCGTGTCAAACGCCCGCGCAGGCCGGGGACGTTGCCCTCTGGGCCTGCCGACACCGTCCCCGGCCCGCGCGAGCGGCTGTGCGGGCAGCTAACCGCTGGCAGGACGCTCGCTCCCGCTGCCCCAACCCCCGGCACCTTCTAGAAGCTGCCGCTGGTGCTTGGCGCTCGCCGCCGCCGCTACTGCTGCCGCCGCCGCCGCTTGGCAAGGCCCGCGCTCCGCCGCCCTCCGCTGCGCCATAGCTCCGCGACACCCCGCGGGCCCGCCCGCCGACCGGCGAACCAGGGGCAGGGCAAGGCAGGGCAGGGCAGGGCAGGCCTTGCCGGCACGGAACGACGCGAGAAGGTGGCGGGCTGAGACCTCTCACTCCTCCCCTTTTCTCCTCTCCTCCCCTCTGCTCGGCTCTGCTCACCCCACCGGATCGCGCTCGTGTTCCCGCCCCAGTGGCCGCACGGCGCATGTACGACTGCAGAGTGCCGCCGGCTTAAAAGGTGTGCGAGGGTGCCCCCCTTAGTACGGTGGGATGTAATTTGGTCTCTTCAGTGTTGGGTGCAGGCACAGGCCGGTCATGCTCACGGGAAATAGGGTAAAACCCGGCTGTGAGCTTGTTTTGTCTCAGTAACGGCTTGAGGTGTGGGAGTGGCTTTACTTTCGTGTGCGTCTACATCATCCCTCAGAGAGGGTGGCGAGAACCCCGCGGCTAACGGCTGTACCTCAGTGGGACTGGAACAGCATTGGGGTCTGAGGGGAAGAAGCATTACTTGATTTTTACAGTTTTGATTTTCGATCTGATTTGTCTGTCGAAAAGAAAGCTTCAGCGTGCTGTTTCCACAGAGCTGGGTTGCTCTTTCCCGGGAGGAAAGAAAACCCTACCAGCTGTATCAGGATTTTGTTCGTGTCTCTTCCTGTCAGTAACAAGGTTTGAAATCCCTCATAAAAGCTGGAGGGTCATGTCAGAGTGTTCACACATCCCTTGGCATTCAAGCTGAATCTGACCTCGAAGCACTTTATTTCCTCATGCAGTTTTATGGCAGTAGTGCACTTCTTAGCCTTTCAATTCCTCCCCACCACCAGTAAGTGCTCTCTCTTCAAAGTACACTTTGAAACCATGCAAAGAACACACATTGCATAAGCTTCTTAGCAGACTTGTTGGCTGAGGGAAATAGTGTGTCACCCTCTCCCGTTTTCCAGCTGTATCTACTTACAAATCTTCAGCCCTTCCTCAGGGCTTTGTAATGGGTGAGCTTGACACCATTCTGACATTTAACTTCAGCCTCATTTATCTGAATACTCTGGATGCAACTAGCCTTATACCATGATTAAATATATCTTTTAATATTGCTTGTACAGGATGGAACAGCTAAGTAATTTTATAACAGTAGGATTTTACAGACTGTACTTTCTGACATCATACATATTTATAAAGCAGCAAGGGAGATGCAGTTCAGCACACAGCAGACGTCTTCGAAGTGTTGCTTTATTGCTACACTGCACCAAAACCACTTGTGTTACAGTGTTTCTACAGGAAGTTGATGATTCATTAGAGATTTAAAGACTCTAATACGCCATTACAAAAGTACAGCCCCTGCCAAATCCAGTGGGAGGAAATAATCCAAACTATAAATTGCAATCAGATTCCAAGTAAAGCTTCAACTCCTGACAGGTTCCACATGAAGTTTTACTTTGCTCAGAATTTCCTACATTTAGAATCTATTTAAAAATACTTCATTAAGTCATGTAATTCACTAATATTTTTAATCGATAGCTTAGAAATGCTAATGCCCTTAGGAGCCATTCAGGCCTATGAACTTGTTGCTCTGGGCATTGGTGTCAGATGACAGAATGCTTTGTTTTTTCAAGCCCTTTCACTAGAAAATTGTACATACTAGCAAGATGGGAATCGCTGACATTGTAACAGATAGCGTTTTTTCCCCTATTGTAAGTGCACATCATGTTTGTCATCTCTCTCTGCTGATCCCATTGTTTCTGGTACTCCAAGTAAAACGATTCAAACACTGGGATAATTTCTGATAAAACATCAAACAGGTACTAAACTGAAGAATGTTGGAAGTAAAATTGTAAATAAGATTATTGTGCAGGAAAATGTTTACCAAGTCATCCTGAAATAGAGGAGAAAAAGCACATTGTGAAAGATAAAATATATACCAGAATTTAAAAGCTGTAGAATAAATTCTAAATGCTGCAAGGGCTATCTGTCATGTTGGTGTGGTGGTTTGTGTGGTGGGGCATGAATTCAAGTAGTCTGGCATTGTAGTACTGTTGCTCAGTAATCACTCAGAGCAAAAGAGTCAGGCAGAGCCTGCTTCAGTGCATGTCTGCCTTCTAGTTAATCTGCTGGTATTCTGTAGCCCCTCTGTGTTACCCAAATGCAGGTAATCTGATAGCACACGCTGGGAAACATACTACTCTTGCTAAATTCTCTACAGTTCCCACTGTCCAAGGCACCACTGTAAGACATACAACAAACAATTAGAGCAATAAAATTTGCTTCATGTTTCTCGTTCTATTTCGTACAAACTCATGGCCTGCAGATGGTTCCCAGAAAGCTGATTCTACAGTAAATTCCTGGTGATGGTATGTCTCATTAAAAATAGAGATGTTAACTCCAATTAACTCAGTATTACAGAGTTCCAGCTTTATGAATTGCTGCCAGAGTGAAATTTAAGGATTCATTAACTAGATCACTTTAAAGTTGAAATATACTGCATAAGTGATATTTCTTAGACTGGATTGTCGGAAGACTCTTAGATTATTCTATGCTGTTCTTGGTTCCCCATGGAGGGGAATGCTGTTGTGAATGTGCTGGCTATTTTACTGAACTTTGAAACTGTCAGCAGTGTTTAGTATCTGCTGACAATCTGAACAGTCACCTCCAAAGATGCCCACATCTAACAAAGATCAGCAGAACCTCTGCATTCACTCAGGAAACAAAGGAACATATCCGGGGAATGTTCCTGAGGACTCACTCTGTAAATAAAATAACTCAGTTCCTCTATTTAAAAGGATAAATTAGATTAATTTACTAGGAAGAAAACAAAGAATGAAAAATGCCACTGTCAGCCACATCTCTTATGTGTTCAGAGGAGAAAGATCTTTGGTATCTGGAACTCAGTGAGTGATCAAGCAGATTTCTGACATATGGTTGAAACCAGCACTGCCAGAAAGAGCTTCATTTTGCAGCATCCTGAGAACGATAGCTGTTGACTGACAATAGATTTACTCACTTCACGTATAAAGTGACCCCTATACATAATGTATAACTTTGTAAGCAAAATAAAATGTCCTCTGTCCTTGGAGCTTCTAAGCCCCTCCTGATATGGAACACATGCTGCACAATACTTTGTTCAGCAGGGAAAGAATGATAAAAGTGCTGTGGTCTCCAGTTGAAGAGGCTATAGACTGAATGGGGCAAGTGCCCACAAGGTTTGTAAGAATTTATTTTTTTCTTAAATATTCCTTAAACTCAGAATATGAATTCTTTCAAATTATATGTGAACCAAAAGGAAACATGATTTTTTGATCTGCATAAAAGGAACAAAATATATTGACAATTATTAGGACAGCAGCTAAGTGGTCACTTCATTCTGTGGGTGGTTGGATGGAATGTTTTATTCCTATCAAATTGAAAATGCTGTCTTTTCACAGCACAAAACCTTGTATTTGCTTCTTTTTTAAATCATGCCTGGAAGGACTGATGTGTCACATGCTGAGTCATTGAAACTGATGCTTTGTAGACTGAGTCATGCTAATTGTCAGCAAGAGGATGAAGGAAGACTTGAGAGTGATCCTACGCCTGAGAGCTTCTAGCTGAAAATTGCCAAAACCAGGAGCACTTATCAATAAGTGAATTAGATGAATAATTTCTTCAGATGTGCAGATTTAGAACCCTTTTCTCCTGCTTTCCCCTTTTATTGTCTTCTTTCTGACCACCTCAAAGAAAACTGCATTAATATGTTTATTATGTAAAACTATGTCTACCTGCCCATCATATCTATAACTGTCTGTCCATCATATTTGAAAAATCATGTCAGTCAGGTGAAGTTCCCAATGACTGGAAAAAGGGAAATATAACCCCCATTTTCAAGAAGGGGAAAATGGATGACCCAAGGAATTACAGACCAGTCAGTCTCACCTCTGTGCCTGGCAAAATCTTGGAGCAGATTCTCCTGGAAGGCACGCTAAGGCACATGAAAAACAACAAGGTGCTTGGTGACAGCCAGCATGGCTTCACTAAGGGGAAATCCTGCCTGACCAGTAGCCTTCTATGATTGGATGATGGAACTGATGGACAGGGGTAGAGCAGTTGATGTCATGTACCTGGACTTGTGCAAAGTGCTCGACACTGTCCCACACGACATCCTTGTCTCTAAATTGGAAAGACATCAATTTGATAGATGGACCACTCGGTGGATAAGGAACTGGCTGGATGGCTGCACACAAAGAGTTGTGGTCAGTGGCTCAATGTCCAGCTGGAGACCAGTAACGAGTGGTGTGTAAGCGGCGAGGAGAAGCAGACAGGCCAACCCAATATGGGTGATAAGCAACTTCTACTTTATTTGTGACACAGTTCACACATATATAGGAGTGGTATTCAGCCACTCCTTCTTGGCACAACAGTATTGGTTAGCCCCCCACAGCTTCCTCCACATTCTCCTCCCAGGTCCAGTCTCCGGCCACCTGTGGGGGCCATCCCCTGCCTTGCTTGCACAGTCCTCCAGAACTCTATGGTTCTGCTCTTAGAGTCATTCTGCAACAATTCCCCCCTTTTTCTTTGTGCAAGCAAGGCATTATGGGTTATTCTGTTCACCTGTTTTATCACACAACTATAAACAAGTCTAATAGCTACGATGATTAACCTAACAATGATACATAAGTGCAATACTTCAAACAACAGTGTTTGACTCAACCTGTAATGCCCTGTGAAGACAACCATCTAGTTATTAGGATATTGCTCATTTACTATTGCTGGGTAAGCTGAGCCAGGGTTCTCAGCTGTTCGTGCATCGAATTAGCATAATCAGAGAGACTCATACAACACATTCCATCAAACTCTTCACATTCATGCCCCTGTTCGGGCGCCATTTGTAAGCAGCGAGGAGAAGCAGACAGGCCAACCCAATATGGGTGATAAGCAAACTTCTACTTTATTTGTGACGCAGTTCACACATATATAGGAGTGGTATTCAGCCACTCCTTCTTGGCACAACAGTATTGGTTAGCCCCCCACAGCTTCCTCCACATTCTCCTCCCAGGTCCGGTCTCCGGCCACCTGTGGGGGCCACCCCCTGCCTTGCTTGCACAGTCCTCCAGAACTCTATGGTTCTGCTCTTAGAGTCATTCTGCAACAGTGGTGTCCCTCAGGGATCGGTGTTGGGACCGGTCTTGTTCAACATCTTTGTCAGTGACATGGACAGTGGGATTGAGTGCACCCTCAACAAGTTTGCCAATGACACCCAGCTGTGTGGTTCGGTTGATAACCTGAAGGGAAGGAATGCCATCCAGAGGGTCCTTGACACGCTTGTGAGGTGGGCAGATGCCAACCTGATGAAGTTTAACCATGACAAGTGCAAGGTCCTACACCTGGGTCGGAGCAATCCCAGGCACAGCTACAGGTTGGGCAGAGAAGAGATTCAGAGCAGCCCTGCAGAGAAGGACTTGGGGGTGTTGGTCGATGAGAAAATGAACATGAGTCAGCTTCAGTGTGTGCTCGCAGCCCAGAAAGCCAACCGTATCCCACGCTGCATCAAAAGGAGTGTGACCAGCAGGTCGAAGGAGGTGATCCTGCCCCTCTGCTCTGCTCTTGTGAGACTTCACTTGAAGTATTGTGTGCAGTTCTGGTGTCCTCAACATAAAAAGGACATGGTACTATTGGGACAACTCCAGAGGAGGGCCAGGAGGATGGAGCACCTCCCATATGAAGACAGGCTGAGAATGTTGGGCCTTATCAGCCTGGAGAAGAGAAGGCTGCATGGAGACCTCCTAGCAGCCTTCCAGTATCTGAAGGGGACCTATAAGGATGCTGGGGAGGGACTCTTCATTAGGGACTGTAGTTACAGGACAAGGGGTAACGGGTTAAAACTTAAACAGGGGAAGTTTAGATTGGATATAAGGAAGAAATTCTTTCCTGTTAGGGTGGTGAGGCACTGGAATGGGTTGCCCAGGGACGTTGTGAATGCTCCGTCCCTGGTGGTGCTCAAGGCCAGGTTGGACGAAGCTTTGGGCAGCATGATTTAGTGTGAGGTGTCCCTGCCCATGGCAGGGTGGTTGGAAATAGTTGATCTTAAGGTCCTTTCCAACCCTAACTATTCTATGATTGTATGATTCTATGATAAGGTCTGGATCCATTTTGTTAGCTATTTCTATCCCATCACCCACACTGATGTAATTGGTAAACTAATCATAAGTACACATCACCTTAAGAGTTTTTATTACCTTTTTTCTAACCAACTTTAACTAATTTGATTAATGATGATATGGTATATGGAAGTCATTCTGAGAAGTTGGCATCAATGTAATTAAAGCACATCTGCATTAATTTAGCTATATGGTTGCAGTGTTCCCATATAAACAAGCTTTAACTGAGCTCAGGGTTTCTGAAAGAGCCCATTTGTCCCTAGTTCTCCTAAGTATGGTTTTGCTGGAGTAGAATTAAATATGTTCAACTACTGTGTAAGCTAAGCAATATCTGTCAGAAATCAAACATCTAACATTTAATTTTTATTATCATTCTATCCAAATTCTGATTTAAACAAAATAAACCTATGGTTTTTTCAAGGAATGGGGTTTGCATGTTTTGATGAGCTCATTCTTTCATTAGTTATGATAAAGAGTTTGAGGATTTAACTGGTAAGTAAGCATCTGCACAGAAGGCAAGTTAAGTTAGAATAGAATGCACTGATTTAAATGAACAGAAAAGTCACCAACAAGTGAGATAAATAGAAATAAACACATATTTGTAGCTAGATAACTGTTTGTGTGAGTGAAGAATTGGAAACATCTTGGAGCAGAAAGAGATCTAATGAAAGCTTTTATTTATAAAAGCCAGTGCTCAAGGACAGAAGCTGGAAAATTAATTAAACAGCAAGTGAGATCAAAACTTGTAAGCGTTAAAATTATTTGAATCTGAACTTGGGAATCATAAATGTTCAGACTCATTTCTCTCCTGGTATTTTTTTAATAGAAGGTTTATTTATTAATTCCTATTGTCTGTTTTATGAACATGCAATACACTGTGCACAGATTTCTGTAAAAATGTACAAAATGCACATTTTTAATAGTATGTACCTATTTTCATTACTGCTTAATTAATTAGAAACACAGTAAAATAGATAGCTATCATATTTCTATCCCCAGAGGTGAAAATAAAAACCAGATTCTCAGTTCTGATGCAGCTTTTGCTCCTGATTAACAGTTCATAGATCACCTTAAATAGCCAGCTACATTTTTTTTTTCCTCTGTCTATTGCATGTGCCAATGGTGCGCATGAAATGGGAAAAGAAACTTTTCTGGTTAGTCCACTCATATCCTACATTTGAGTGCAAGAAGAGGGGAATTAAAGGTTATTTTGTATTGCTGCAAATTAAGAGTGAAACATACCCTGTAATAAGCTTATGCCATCCCAACTAAGGGTCATGAAAGCTCTGTCAGGTTCCTTAAATCTAGTACCAGCCTTCAGAGGCCTTACTTCTGATTCTTGGGTGGTTTTTTTTTTTCCCCTGACTCGGAAAGCACTAACAGTAAATAGTCAAAATTTTATTAAAAGTGTCTGGAAAAGAAGGAGTTTTCATTACAGAACAGGGAATCTCGAGTGTCCTCCTGACAGAAATAAGTAACTTAGTGTTTGTGGGAGGAAGAAGGCTGAACAACTCCACCTCAGCCTGTCAGCTGCCTCATCCCAACAGCCTTCAGCCTCTGAGTTCTGGGAATGGGCTCAGGCAAAAAATACATTGAAGAGTTCAGCCAATGTCAGCTCCTTGAGAGGGGTAGCAAGGGAGGTAAAAATATTTTGAAAACAAGAAAATTTTCCTGGCACCTTATGGTTGCTTATTACCCCCTCAGATCTCTCTGCAGACTCCTGTGAAGCCCAGCACAACCCATACATCATTGAGCACAGCACTGTAGGGGTGGCCAACACGAGCAGCAGTCCACAGCACAGAGAAAGGGAGGCAGCCCCAGAGGAGAGCAAGTATGAGGAGGGGCAAGGAGAGTCCTTGGTTGACTCAAAAACAGCTGCACAATACTTCAGCCATGCAGCACACGGCTGCTGCAGTTGAGGTATTTCTAATCTGGTGTTTATTACTTGTGATAACTATCACATTTGTACATTTCCATGTAGTGAATGTACATGCCCTTGTTCTAGGATACACCCACTAGGCAAGGTTCACATTTAATACTAGGTTAGGATTAAGTGTAACAAAGTTATACACTGTCTGCGGCTGAGTTTATACTGACATAGCCAAAAATTCCACTATTCCTTCTAAGAAGGAATATGTCCCGTCAAGGATTGAAGGAGGGAGGAGAAGGAGCAATGAGATAGCTGGACATTCCTGTCTGAAGGGCAAAAGTTTCCAAATCTAAGTTATTCCACGCTGATAAAAACTCTGTCTTTAATCTGACCAAAGATGTATTTTAATTTCTCTTTAGATGCTATTAAAATGTTTTCAGGCTGTTCTTGCAGATTCTACCTCTACAGGTGTGGAACTGGAGTTTCAGCTCAGTTAAGCTGAGGCATAAGGTATATGCTGGGGTGCTGGCAGAAGTTTCTGTCTTTTGATTCTTGTTCTTGGGCACACAAATTCAAGAGGGAGGGCATGAATAAGGAGCCTCAGCAGGGACCTTTGATCTCACTGAATAATACTGTTTCTGTGTTTCTTTTTGCTGGTTTATTCTTTTTGGACTAGTTCCTGAACTGCTTTCCTGTATGGCCACAAAGTTGTCTAAAATCAATGCTGCGAATGGTATACTGGCAGAAAAAAAAAAACAAACGGAGACTTGCAGTGCCCATTTAAACAGCCTGTGTCTGTGGCTTGTTCTACCCACTCTCAATCCCATCACAGCCCCATCATATACTGTCACCCTTCTGTGGGCCATGTCACTGTTCCTGATCTAACCACATTGCGGTATCCATCCATATGGGCCCGTAATATGCCTTACCTGGAAAGCCTGGGGTTTCTATGAAGGTAACTCACAAAGATCTTTGGTCTGGACAGCCAGCTTCACGTCACCTCCCAGTATTGGACACACACTTGGGTGTGTAGCTTTCACAGTGTCTAATCTGCTGGTGCAGTGACAGAAGTTAATGCTGCAGAGTGCAATCAGATGTTTCTAAGCTGCTTTTCTCCCTGTTGTCACAAAGTCCCAAGTGGAACACATGCTGGAATTTGCCAAGGCCTGAGTGATCTCCTTTTGCTGCCAGGTTCTTAAAAAGTAGACAAGGAGTCAGATAATTGTAACTACCTATTGACATTTCCTTCCTGCATTTTGCTTTCTTACTCAAGCAGGCTAAGTGGGTTACGTTATAATAAAGGTTTCTTTTATTCTAACTTGCCCTGAATTAAGGTTCTAGCTCTGTCCCCTAATACTAAGAAAGAAGTTAGAAGAGAAAATATGCTTATAAAAAAACAACTGAAACTGATAAGATGCAAAGCAGAGAGAAAATATGGTGAAAAATTAAAAAAATGAGACCATGTTGAGATGTGAACAAAAACCGGTCCAACTTCCTTGTTTATTCTACAGCTCTCTTGGAATGTGGTCTTTACACAACACACTACTTGGTTACCTGAATTGGGTTACCAGCAGAAAGGGTACATCAACAGCCAATTGCCTAATGGTATTGCAGAGTCAAATGGTTAAATCAACAGTGATCATCTTCCACATTGTGCTCTGAGTGCAGTTCTAATCATCCTTTCATGTTAAGTGGTAAATGCATTTGGCTTGGAAAAGGAGGAGCAAATCAGCAATACAGGCACATAGTTTTGGAAAGCAGACCAGAAAATTATAAAATTAACACTTGCTTCATGTTAGGAAGGATTTGCATTTCTTCTCACTAATTACCTGAATAACAAAATGACTTTAAGCAATGTGACCCAGATTGTGGTAATGATGACTGTCAAAGGAGAAATTATAAAAGACAGAGCTTTTCAAAAGTGCTGAGTATCTGACTTCTGACCTCAGCTTCTCTGAAATTCAGCGCAGAATGCCTCAGTATAGCACTATGTCATATGACACTGCATACCTAGGATTTTATGTTCCCACAATACATTTCTCTCCTACCTACATAACTTGTTAAACAATATTGTGTCACATGGGGGGAGCACAGTTCTGGTCTGATGGCAGAAGCAGCCTGTCATATGACACAGGCCTTACACACCACACTGGGTGGTGTTATGAGTGACAGAGGCACTACTTTACTCATCCTTCTTCCAACCATTATGAAATCATCAGCTTGAAGTTCTGCTGCTTTTAGTGTTGCTTCTGAATCTATTCTCATCATCAATGTACTCATGAATCACAGCAGGTTGGATGCTTAAAGCCATTCACTGCTCATGCTCTGTTTTCACTGATGTATGGAAGTAGTGCAGGGAAACATTACAGTCAAGTACCTGAAGGCTCATTTCTGCAGTTTTTCCTAATTTGCACTGGAAACCTGAATGAAGATTTAAAAAGTTAAATGAATGCTCCTTGCTTTTCAGAATTAATAATTTTCAGATTTAAAAGCCCGACCAGCAGTTATTTACAGTCATCAACAAACTGCTGGTTAGCCTGCAGGCAGAAGAACTGTAGGCTGGTTGATCCTTTGCTTTATCTCCAGGTGATGCTCAAGGACCTCAGAAGATATGCATAGAGAGGTCAGAGTTTCTACTTTGATTGAAATTTTCTTCTATCTTAGAGGAGGAAGAGAGGAAGAATTTGGCATCTTTGGAAGTGGAGATCAGACAGAAAAATTTGGGAAAAAATCACATAGCACTTACACTCATAATTTGGGAAGAATATTCGGAACAATTTTAATAGGAAAGGAAGATGGAGAAGTGTGTTCAGGTAATATGTGAGCGCAAAACAGATTGTACAAGAAAGAAGGATAAGAAAAAAGGAAAAAAAGGAAAACCCATCATTACTTAAAAAAAAAAAAAAAAAAAAAAAGAGCAAAACTTCCAGTGACAAAGTTTAGAACTTTTAAATATTCCCTACATTGTAGGGAGTCCCAGCAACCTTCAGATAAATTGCATGAATTGCATTTTAGATTAGCAGAGCAAAAGTTAATAGGCTTAAACTTTTTTCCTGTCACAATTCACAATCTAAGAATGCATGGTCTAATCAGAGTATGTGCAAATGTCATGCTGTATTTTCTTCTGGTTTGCTTTTTCTGTAAGATACAAAACGTCTGCAGTGAGAGTGCCCAGTATTTCATCCTGATCTAGCCTCTAAGGTCTAAGTTCTCCCAGAAAGTAACCATTCATAATGAGTGGGCCAATAACCAATCCACAAGGAAGAAAGCCCTTCATCCTTGCTAGATACAACCACACAGATAGGTTTTAAGAAATATATTCAGGTCATCATTAGAAAAGTATTATGCAGTGGCAAACTGCAGAACAAGAAGAAGGGCTTCTTTAAATACACCAATAATAGGAGGAAAACTAGGGAAAATGTGGGCCCATTACTGGAGGAAGCAGAGACCCTGGTGAGAGAGAAGGCAGAGATACTGAATGCCTTCTGTCTTCAATGCCAAGGACAGCCTTCAGGAATCTCTCACCAGGAGACCAGGGAGAAAGTCTGGGGAAAAGAAGTCTTTCCCTTGTTTGAGGAGGATTGGATTAAGTATCCATTAGACAAACTTGATATCCACAAGTCCATGGGCCCTGACAGGATGCACCCACAAGAGCTGTGAGAGCTGGCAGGTGTCATTGCTAGACCACTCTCTATAATCTTTGAAAGGTCATGGCAACCAGGAAATGTGCCAGAGGACTGGAAGAAAGCAAATGTCACCCCAGTCTTTAAAAAGGGCAAGAAGGAGGACCCTGGGAGCTACAGGCTAGTCAGCCTCACCTCAATCCCTGGATACGTGATAGAACAGCTCATCTGGAGGCCACCTCTAAGCACATGGAAGACAAGAAGGTAGGACTAGTCAGCATGGATTCACATTTTATTACCAAAATACATGAGTTTCACAGAGTCAGTTCATAATCAGGATTAGAGATTAAATGGGGACAGTCTGATAAGGATAGACTCTTTTCACCTAAGGCAGTTCTGTGAAGGAAACCTCTTTGTTTCAACCTTGAACATTATGCACCCAGTCCTAGACAAGTTTTCTGTCAAATAGGTTTTCTGAATGCAGAAATCCAGACCTACAAATATCTGTGATAAGGAAATGCATATGTTTTGTACTGTACACAATACTAGTTCCTTTTGTCTGTGAACAGACTACAGGTTCATCTTTTTGGTCTGCTTTCTGCAACAAAATAGTTTAAAGCCCATGACTGCAGAAATTTCAGATGCCTGTGTAAGACATTATTAATGTGTTGTAATAATTTCTGAATAAGCAAGGCTAATACAGATAAAATAAAAGGAATCCACAAGAAGACTGATAAGTGGTTTTAAAAGAACTTAAAAAAGCTGGCATGCCATTATTCTGTGGTAATCCTTACTACATCTGAACCAGCATATTTGCGTTTTTGTGTGGAATTACTTGCTGTACTGGTGACACAGTTTCATGCAAATACTTCAATAAACTTTCAGCTTGATTTAGCTGTAGAAATTAATCATTTTATCTTGTCAACCCAGAAGAAACATGAGCACGGAATCCTGCTCAGTAAAGGCTAGGAGCAGAACAGCAGAATGCTGGTAAGCAGGAGCCAAGGTGTATGAAGAGTGCCCAGGGAGGAAGCTGACACATCTCTTTGTTACCCTGAGAACATGGTGTTGCTCTGCATGCTTCATTCATGTGCCTTCAAAAGGTGAAATGAGGGACAAGTGTTTTCCACTTTGTTACTTCACAAAACACACGTAAAAAACATAGTCTTGTTCAGACAAAGACATGGGCACTGGCAATAAGGTTCTCATATTTCCACGCACATTCCCTGCCTTGCAGTTGCAGCTACTGGAATTAGCATGCAGCAATCATGAGGTGTGTTTGTCCCACAGATCAGCCTAACAGAGCTAATTTTAATTTAGCTGTTGGTTACCAAGAGCCTGGAAGCCACAGGAGTATGAATTTCTGGGCCAGCTCTGTACTAACTCAGCCAGCTTGAGTCAAGCATAATGCTAATATGCCTGGGCTGCTGCACATGGAGAAGCTAACTAAGAGAACGCTGTGTCCTATGTGTTTGTGTGATACCTAGCTGTAGCACTCACACACCCCAGCTCACCCACCTTGTATTCCATATAAACAGTGGTGCACCAACGGTCATCAAGAAATACATACATGTGCCCACAGGTAGAGTATAAAGTTGAATAATAGCAATTTCAGTGCTTGTTTTAGTATCTCTATGTCTTTAGGAATTTACATACAGGTCAGAAGGGGTCCTGTGTTTACCCTTCACCATTATAACCACTTCTGTTAAATAAGAAAATACCAGTGTTTAAAGAGTATAACCTAGCGGAAAACATATTTATCCTGTTTGGACAACAATACTAAATTGTAAAGACTTGCAAATAATAAACACTGTGAGTCACCTAATAAAAGTGCTAATCAGATAACATCTAAAATGCAAGTAAAAGAAGGAAATAATCTGGTTTTACAACAAAAAAATATATTTTACAAGTTGCGTTGCGTCACCTCACAGTAGCATTGGGAACTGATGACCAAGGGTGTGGGCAGCCCTGAGCGCACCAGCTGCTCCTCACCACGGCCTGGCGCACCACTGACCGCCTTACAACCTCCCTGGCTGCTGAGCCTCCCAAATGCTTCTTAGGCAATTAGGGCTGCTGCTGCAGAGCCATGCTGGCACACTTCCTGAAAACAGGTGGGTTATGGAGACAGCTGCCTAGAACTGCACAGACTGGAATGAGTTAATCAACTGAATGCTATGTTACTAGATTACTAGAATTCTTAATGCATGTATGTAGTTCCTTGCAAATGAAAAGCTTTTCCTAAGTGCTGAGAATTTATTCGGAGTGAATTTTTAATCTAATAAAATCCTAGTCCTGTTCTACTGTACATTGTTATTTAATCAATTTAAATGGAAACAGGATATGATTATAAAGACTAAAATTATTCCAAACAGGACTAACTTGAACTCTCTTATTAAACAGAAAGAAATATACTTTGATAGATGCACATACAGCTTGCACAAGCCTCACTTGAACTCAAGTTTAATAATACAAATGAAGTTATAGATTAAACATACTTCTTCACTCTTAGCAAGTTTCAGAAATTTTTGCCTGTTTTCCAGCTATTTCTGAACAATTTCAGTTTATTGCTGC